CAAACAAACGGCATTGTTAATATACGTAGCCATCTATTGACAAGAACGCGTACTATGTTATCTTACACTCGTAACTCTTAGGCTTAATAAACGAACGGTCATTCTTACGTTTCATTGTCAACTATGTTACATGTATTATATATATTAGAATACGACTAACGTTTTCAAAAAATTATAGGAGCCCAAACATTTAATTCTACAGACGCCTGCTTGCACAGGTGACGCTCGAGATATCCACTTGGGGGTTGTGGATAAAGGGTAGAGATCTGTAGGTGAAGGGTTCTTGAGTTCTAATCCCCTCTTAGTCGGTAGACGTAAATCCTGAAGTAAAAAAAAACAAGACATACGCTAGAAGTTTAAGTAAAGTATAACTATAGTGATAGTCCCACCTGTTGAAAGCTCTAGGGCTTTATCGTTTTTTTATCCTACTTTTTATTATCATGAAAATCTATTTGAACGGTTGACGCGCGTCTCAGGGTGACACACGTGTCTCATGATGGCACGCGTGTCTCACGGTTAGTCACAATTATCACAACCGTAATCTTGTTTGTTTGTCACGAATTTCGCGCAAAGCTACACGAGGGCTATCTGCACTAGCTGTCCCTAACTTAGGAGTGTAAGACTAGAGGGAAGGCAGCTAGTCATCACCACGAATAGTGGGATTGACCGTCACGACTGAAAGGACGAGCATGTTTGGTGTGACGGATATTCGAAACCGCGACCCTCAGATTGTGAGTCGAGCGCCCTAACCACCTGGGCATGCCGGGCCAAAAAAAAAAAACACTTGTAAGTTGCATGAAAAGTTGCGTCCATAGGTTTACCAGCGAACTGTTTTGAAAAATAATAACAATTTAAGGGTTAATATTTTGTTAGACGGACATTGAATAATCTCCTTCACTTGATGCTTAATAATAGTTCCAAACACGTGACTACCTTATCATAATGTGTAGAAGTTGTCAGAGTCAAGTACTCTTTTGTTCACAGCCATCAAAACAGGGGTTTGTTTAATAATAAACTATTGTTTGTTTGTTTGTTTGTTTTGTTTTTTGAATTT